ATAGGAAAAGTTGTTGTGATTTCATTAAACCACGTGAGCATGCAACAACATATATTAGAAGTGTTGCTTATGTCAGCAATCAATTCCTTTAAGTATAATATGATAAAGTTATTGATTTTGAAGTCTTTCAAAATGGAAACCCACATAACAGTGGGCAGTAGTAATTTTGGGAATTAAAATTTAATAGCTTTTACATTCCATGTGATTAAGGCATGTGATTTTGAAATTTAAAGTTCGAATACTTTAACATTTCATATGATTTAAGTCAAAGCCAGTTCAAGTGTACTAATATGAATACTTCAAGCCTAGTCTTCAAAAGTCAAAAACCTTAACAAGTCTTGAAGTAGGGGACATTTGTAGGCATATAAATTTCATTGGAATTAAATCCATGAAATACTTTGGACTATATTTTAAATTCAAGATATATTGGTCCAAATAAATATTATTGGGCTAATATAATTGAATTAGTTATATAAGTTCAATATATATGGATTAAATAAATAAGTCTTAATCCATTGGGCTAGCCCATTTAATTGGGTTAAAGTGATGAGCCCACTTCATTAAGCCCAAGATGTCATCTTCCTAGAGGCCCAGTTTGGTGCCACGTGTCAAATGACGTGGCACGCCAAGTCAAGCGGAAGGGCCAATAGGACCATTCCACGTGTCAAAATGACAAGGCATGTCCCGTCATGCTAAAAGGGCAATGAAATCGCGCCACGTGTGCAAGTGACATGTTCTGGCCAATCAAATACAGCCATGTAACACTTCAATTTGATTGGTCGGAAAGAGTTTGTTCTTATCACAACTCTTCCCTTCCACAACTATAAATAGGGGTCTTCATAACTCAGAAAAGACACCAGAAGTTATAACAAGAAGCAAGAAAGAGCTCGTGGATCAAACGCTGCAAATTCCTCCACAAGTTTCAGGCTTCAAGTTCAAGTTCAAGAAATCAAGTGCAAGTTCAAGAACGAAGAACAAATCAAGGTCAAGTTCAAGCTCAAGCTCAAGAACAAGATCATCGTTCGAGGCAACAAATACATATTCAAGATCAAGCTCAAAGGCCCTTGAATTTATTTACTATTAAAAAGAAGAAACAGAGGATTCATAGAGATTATAACACTCAAATATTCAAAATAAAATACTACGATTGTTGCGATATTTTTTTATCTTGATTTTATTTTCTCGAACCAAATTTATCGTCTACAGTGTCCATGATTAATAACGCTTTATTATTATTAAGAAAGTTTAGTCGAAGTTGCACGAACACATACTCCGATTTTGTTTTTAGAAATCGTAATCATATCATGCGAACGTGTCCACAACCACGATAGTATATTAAACGGGCCTAAAGCAACTACGTGCATTTGTCATTTTTATATCTAGGTTATGAAATTAATACGATGGCCATGTATGATTAAATTTGGATGGCACGCCTCGAACTAAATTTAATTTAGCAGTTTATTTAAACCAATTTTATTATTAAGAAAGTTTGATCGAAGTTGCGCGAACGCATACTCCGAATTGGTTTTCAAATTCGTAATTATGTCACGCGAACGTGTCCACAATCAGGTTAACTAATTGAATTAAAAACATAGTTAAAGCATGCTGACGACTTTGGAACTTGTTCAACAATTCATTAATATGAACTAAATGAGCGAAATTGGTCAACTATGTATATTTACAAAGATCAGATTAGCTATAACTCTTGTTGAACTAGGGTAAAATATCATTTGGCCCATTATTGCTATATCCATGAAGCTCTAATTCTTAAAGCTTCTCATTTTCAACTTCATAAACAAACTTTAAACGAAATTTCCAAACCACAAACTAATAAATATAATAATAGAAAAACCTTTCGGGTTTCAAAAAAAAACTAATTTCATCAGCAACATAATCTCCATTTTATTAATGAATAACAAACAACAAGAAGGAACCAATTTATAGATTTTTTAAGCTACTGTCAAGTAAACATAACAATCATCCAAACATCAAGATATGCAAATCAAAAAAATCATGGACACAAATAGATTACTTAACAGAGAATAAGAATCTGGCCTCAATAATATTAACACGAACAGATTCAAGTTGGCATCTCAAAAGTTAGCATAAAAGGTACAAACAAACAAAACGGAAACAGCGAATAAGAATTTGGCCTCAATAATATTAACATGAAATTAGTTACATCAAACTTCAATGAACTAAATCTGACCCGAAAATACAACAGCAGTAGGAGCTCGGACCGCGAAACCCACCGGCAACCTCGAACTCAGACCGGAATCAACCTCGAACGGACGGAACTTCAATGGGCGTCGGAAATCATCTTAGGCAACGACCGGACTGGTGGTGTTTAGGAGTTGTGTTGTACGAAATTTTGAAAAGGATCCGAAGCAGAGGATCTCTGCGGATGAAATCAAGGGTCATGGGTTTCCAAATCTGTAGACTGGAATTTGATTGTGCAACTTCTTGGGTGTTCAAAGTTTTTGTCCAAAAAATGAAGAAGGAGAAGATCTGATGGGTCTCTTAGGTCTCCTTTGTGTTCCAGTAGCTAAAAAATTTTAGGCCTTTTTCATTTTTGTTCAAGAAGAAGCAGAATGTTTCCGGGGTCGTTTTGGGGTAGGGTCTTTTGTTGTTCAAACGACGCTGATCTCTTTTTTGTGTATAGGTCTGATTTTTTGTGTTTTCTTAGCTGATAGCCTTAGGTCTAGGGGTTTAGGTATTTGTAGGATTTTTTAGGTTAAGAGACACGAGCCTAAGAATTATGGGCTTGGGAATTATGGGATAGGTCCGAAAATTAGGCCTAAAAATGGATCGTTTGAGCCTGAATTTTATTCTTTACCTGCGAACGAGACTAAAATCCATTATCATTTATTAATTAGTCTCACTTAATTAAAACAACTGTTAAAATAAGACTAACCGTTAAAACAAAACTATTTTTGGTATTTTTCAAGATTAAAAATGGCTACAAAACATTAATGAAACTATTTTTTTGTAATTTTTATTTTCTTGTCAAAAATAAAGTAAAAGAGTCAAAATTAGTTGAGATAGCGATATTAGACCTAAATTAAATATTTACGTGATAAAATATGAAAAATCTTGGGGAGGGTCAAAAATCACATGTCTACAGGTGGTACCAAGACAATACCTAGGCCTGCTCCTTTCATATTCTATGAACCATCAGTAAATAAAGTCCAAATTCCTAGATTAGACCCATTGAATACCTATAGTTCTTTTTCTGCTTCTAGTTGCATCCCTTGGCTAAAATCTGCCAGGAAATTTGCCAACACATGTGACTTTATTGCAGTTTTAGATTGATAACGTAATGTCATATTCACTCAACTCTATGGCCCACTTGGCTAACCTACCTGATAACTCGTATTTATGTAATATATTACGTAGGGGATAGGCAGTTACTACTGAGATTGGATGGCATTGAAAATAAGGTCTTAATTTTCTAGATGCCATAATTAATGCAAGTGCAAGTTTTTCAAGATGAGGATACCGAGTCTCAGCATCTAATAATGACTTGCTAACATAATAAATTAAAGACTGTTTATCTTGGTCTTCACGAACTAAAACAGCACTCACCGCTACTTCTGAAACAGCAAGGTAGATGAGTAGTTTCTCCCCATCTTTTGGTTTTGCAAGCAACGGTGGATTTGAAAAGTACACTTTCAAATTTTTAAGCGCTTGTTGACATTCCTCAGACTATTTGAGCTGATCCTGCTTTTTTAGAGCTGAAAAGAACCTAAAGCATTTTTCTTATGATTTGGAAATAAATCTTCCCAAGACTGTAATTCTTCTCGTCGGTCTGTGTACCTCTTTTTTAATTGTAAGTGTATCAGAAATTTCCTCAATAGCTTTAATCTGCACGGGATTTATTTCAATTCCACGGTTAGAAACAAGAAATCCCAAAAACTTACCTGACGAAATGCCAAATGCACATTTCTCGGGGTTTAGCTTCATGTTAAATTTACGGAGAACCTGAAATGTATCAAACAAGTGCTGGATATGATTCCCTTTTTGTTGTGACTTGAACAGTATATCATCTATATAGACTTCCATGGGTTTCCCTAAATATTCTTGAAATATTTTGGTCACCAACCTTTGATATGTGGCTCCAGCGTTTTTGAGACCAAATGGCATTACTTTATAACAGTAAGTCCCCATGTCTATTATAAATGAAGTTTTTTCCTCATCTATTGGATCCATGTTGATTTGGTTATACCCTGAATATGCATCTAAAAAAACTTAACAATTCATGTCCTGCAGTAGCATCAATTAGTTGATCTATATGCAGTAATGGAAAAGAATCTTTAGGACAAGCTTTGTTTAGGTCAGTATAATCTACACAAACTCGCCACTTACCATTCTTTTTAGGTACTATTACAGTATTAGCTAACCAATTTGGATATTTTACCTCGCGGATTGACCCAATTTTTAAAAGTTTTTGTACCTCATCTTGCATCACCTGATTTTTGAAAGATCCTTGCTTTCTTTTCTTTTGTTTGATAGGTGGATATGATGGATCTTCATTTAACTTGTGAGTCATTACTTCCGGATGTATTCCTGTCATATCAAAATGGGACCAAGCAAAACAATCCACGTTCGTTTTCAAAAATTCGGTCAACGTACCTTTCATTTTGTGGCTTAGATTGGTCCCAATGTAGACTTTCCTTTTAGGCCAAGGTGTGAATAGTTCTACAGCTTCCAATTCTTCAATCGGCGTTTTGATATTTTCATTTTCCTCTGGTTCTTGGATAGAATCGGACCTCGAGTCTACATTTGTCCGCCCGTGTTCAGTTGAGGCTTGTGTTGCAGCATCCTCAACTAGATTCTGTAATTGCTATTTTTCTTCATTTTTTGCGCTTGAATCTTCTAAGGAGTTGATTCTCCTAGACGTTTGTTGATCACCACGGATTTGTCGTATTCCTCATTGTGAAGGGAATTTAATAACTTGATGCAGGGTAGATGGCACAACATCCATTTCGTGAATCCATGGTCTACCGAGAATCATATTGTAAGCCATATCCGTCTCTACCACCTGAAATTTCATGTCTTTGATAACTCCTTCTGCGAATGTTGTGAGTATTATCTCCCCTTTTTGTTACGACGCTCGAGTTGTCAAAACCAGATAAGGTATGCGCCTTGGGTATCAGCTTATCTTCAGCTTGTACTTCGTTTACCACTCTTAGCAAAATGATGTTCACGGAGCTACCTGGATCAATCAAAACTTGTTTCACATTAGTGTCATGTACAAGTAAAGATATTACCAGTGCGTCATTGTGTGGGGTTAGTTCGCCATTTGCACCTGCATCATCAAATGTAATACTTTCTTCTTCCAAAACACATCGAACTCGCTTCCCGTGTGTGACAGTAATTTTTGAAACTTTCTTGGCTGCCGTATATGTCACGCCATTAATTTCTTCTCCTCCTATTATAACATTTACAGTCCTTTTTGGTGAAGGAGGTTTAGGGGGCTCCTGCCTGTTTTTCATATACGCTTGCTTACCTTTTTCACTAAACAATTCGGTTAGATATCATTGCTTTAACAAATGGTCAACTTCACCTTGTAGCAATCTATAATCTACCATTTTGTGACCATGATCACACCAGAAATCAGGATTTCGCCTATTCGGGTTTGATCTCATTTCCTTTGGCCACCGCACCTTATCACCCATGCTTCTTAATACTGCTACTAACTCTGATGTGCTAACATTGAAATTGTAACTGCCAAATTTTTCCTTCGAGCCTCTATCATCATTTCACGTCTCTTGCGCGTTCCGCTCTTTTCCAAACCTTGATGATGAGCCTAACTCTCTATCTCTTGATCTATGATCGTACCTTGAGTTATCCTGCTTTGAACGCGAGTCTCTTCCTGCTGGTCCCATGTAGGGCTCCTACCTATTTTTTCGGACCTTTTTTTAGTTTCAACACGTCTTGAACTTACCCTCTCATCTTTTTGAGACTGAGTGATGTTATCTTCTTCTATCCGCAACTTCATGTTATATCTGTTGTAAACATCAGTCCAAGTTGTTGCTGGTGGCTTCTGAACTTTTCTCATTTAAATTACTGGCAAAATCCATAGCTGCCCAGTTATCAGGTACGTGTGGCAACATCATCCTTTCACCCTGGAATCTATCTACGAATTCTCTGAGCAGCTCTGAATCTCCTTGCTTTATTTTGAAAATATCATCCATTCTTTTTTCGACTTTTTGAGCTCCTGAGTATGATTTGATAAATGAATCTGCAAGCTCAGTAAAAGAATTTATAGAATTTTCGGGTAAAAGAGAATACCATGTTAATGCTCCCTTAGTGAGTGTTTCACCAAATTTTTTTGACCAACACTGATTCAATTTCTTGTTTGGTCAAGTCGTTGCCCTTTACAACAGTTGTGAATGCAGTCATGTGGTCTCGTGGATCAGTTATCCCATTGTATTTTGGAATATCGGGCATCTTGAATTTCTTCGAAATTGGTAGAGGAGCAGCACTTGGCTTCCAAGGTTGTTGTGAATATTTGTCCATATCTATTCCCTTGATTACAGGCGGTACTCCAGGTATTTGCTCTATGCGGTCTCTTTGCTCCTTGAGCTGTTTCTGCAAAGTTAACACTAAATTTTGTAAATCAGAATTAACTATGTTACCTGGTTCTCCATCACGAAACTCGCTGGGAGCTCCGCCACTGCCTAAATTAACGAGTCCAGAACGAGAGTTTTCCAAAGCATTGTTATTTGGAGTTGGTGTTGGTGGTACAACCGGAAACTAGCTGGTAAAAGCCTGGAGAGCGTTGTTGACCTGTTGAGCAATTAATTTTTTAAGAGCTTCATCGAGAGCTTGTTCATTTGCAATTCTGTCATTTTCATTTGATTCAGATCTGTTTGGAGTCCCCTCTCGTGATTTTCGCTGAGAATGTTGTGGTGATGGAGGTGGGGTTCTGTCATCGTGTTCGTTCAGTTGATGTTATAGATCTTGGAGTGGTAAATTGTGTTGTTTATTGTCGTTGGCATTCGACATGGTTATTTTTTTATAAAAGAACCAATTTGGAAAGCAGATGATTATCAGATTTCCGGTAATGGAACCAATTTATTTAACCAAAAATTGGAATTTCGGTCAAAGCTTATTTTTAGAAAAACTCGGGTTTGTAACGACCCCAAATACCCAGTCACGATGGCACCTATCACATTACTAGGCAAGCCAACCCAAACCTTTAACCACAACAAGTTCCTTTTATAAAACCATTTTCTAACACAGGTTTAGATACCAAATTTTCATAATAAGTGTTTAAAACACAATTACATACACGGAAGTCAAATAAACATGAAAACTACACAGCCCTAAATATCTGGTGTCACGAGTCTAGAGCTCTACTATATAACTGATTGTCTGATACAACATAAGTCTAGAAAATGCGGAAAAGAACAAGATAAGAAGGAGAAAACAGGGATGCGGATGCCATGCAGCTACCTAGAAATCTCCGGCAACCTCTGGATCGACTGAGGACCCTCACTCTGCCACTCGGGCACCTGGATCTGCACACAAGGTGCAAGGAATAACATGAGTACGCCAACTCAGTATGTAACCAAAGTAAATAAGGTCTGAAAGCAGTGACGAGTAGTTAAAAATCATATAACTGAATAAACAATAGGATAACAGGTCAACTTCACAGTTTAAAACTAGTTTCGCCGTAAAATCATCAAATTTCAGTTTAAACACTTGAAATCATATACTTAGCAATTTTTCCAATAGATGCTTAATTTAAAAGAAGAGTGAAATCAGTAAAAATATCATAACTAGGCCCCTTGAGCAAGGTATCACTCAGAATATGGCCTCTCAGGCAGCCTCTTAGTCACTTGTCACTCAATACTCACTCTCGCCACTCAGGCTCATTAATATCTCATAGTAATAGAAATCATAGTAACCGCTGCGGCGTGCAGCCCGATCCGTAATTTATAGTCGACTACGCTCACTGGGGGTGTACAGACTCCGGAGGGGCTCCTACAGCCCAAGTGTCGTATCGCTGCGGCGCACAGCCCGATCCAATATATATATCGCTGCAGCATGCAGCCCAATCCAGTATATATATATCGTTGCGACATGCAGCCTGATCCAGTATATATATCGCTGCGGCGTGCAACCCGATCCATATAAGTATCGTTACAGCGTGTAGCCTGATCCATAATATATACATATCATATCCTCACTATTAGGTTCTCAACCTCTCTTAGTCATTAACCTTACAGCCTCTCGGGCATAACAATAGAAATTAGGGAACTCAGCTCAACAGTCCTCACAATTAGAAGTGGAGTGATAAAACTAGTTTTAAACATTTAAATAGGTAAAACATGACTGAGGATATGCTTTCAACAAGTAAAGTGAGGAAAAACAGTAAAAATGCCCCTAAGGGTCTCAGCAGGTTGGCACAAGGCTCCAAACATGCCATACAACCCATAATATAGTATAAATAGCTAAAGTACAGAATATCATAAGGTTGCAGATCAAATACGCAGCTTAAAAGTCGCTACGGGATGGACCAAGTCACAATCCCTATCGATGCACGAAATGTTCCCTACCGCGGCCGCACTGCATTTTGTGTTGTCCGCACAACACCTACCGAGGCCACACTTCATTTTGTGCGGTCCGCACAGCCCATACCGCGGCCGCACTTCTTTTTGTACGGACCGTGTGGGTGGGTTCTGAGGCCTGCAACCCTTCTGGACCTGCCACAGCCATGATATCCGGCCTAAAACATCCCGGAACCTACCCGAAACTTCCGGAACTTCAAACCAATTGTACCAACACATCCCATGACATCGTTCAAACTTGTTCAAAACTTCGGAATGCTCGCAACAACATCAATCACCAATTTAACATAGGATTCAAGCCTAAGAACTCCAAGAACTCTTAAATTATATTTTCGATCAAAAAGTCTATCAAATCTCGTCCAATGGCCTAAAATTTTGTACACACATCCCAAATGACATAATGAAGCTATTGTCACTCTCGGAATTCCATTCCGACCCCTATATCAAAATTCGCCTATCAACCGGAACCGCCAAAATATCAACTTCGCCAATTTAAGCCTAAATCTTCTCTACAACTCCAAAACTCATTCCGATCGCACTCCTAAGTCACAAATCACCTCCCGAAGCTAACCGAACCATCGGAACTCACTTCCAAACCTTCTAACACATAATTCAACATCCGGTTAACTTTTCCAACTTAAGCTTTCTTAGAAGAGACTAAGTGTCTCAAACTTCACCAAACTCATTCCGGACTCGATCCGACCAACCCGATACCGCAAAAATACGAATAACGAAGCATAAAGAAGCTAAAATAGGGGAAACAGAGCGGTAACTCATGAGACGACTGGCTGGGTCGTCACAGGTATGCTTTAGAAATGGATTTAAGTTCTGACTATGGAGGATGAAGGAAAAGAAAGCTTATTGGGAAATTTGCTAGCAACAAATATACGTGATTGATTTTCATTACATAAAAATGGCTAAAGTTGCATTAGTTTTTAATTTATGGCTATATTTTAAAGAGCTTCCTTAATAGCGGCAGCAATATGAACAAGGAAAATTAATTTCCTATACGATATAGGAAACTATATTATGAAAAATGTCCATAATTTGCAAATTACCCGCCCTGCTAACAGACTTTCTACAAAATATAAACAACTCATTAAAAACAGAATCTTGTTAGCTGTACAATTCCTTTAATAGGCGCGCGAATGTTGGAATATTAAGGATTCTTCCAGATTTTATCAAACGCAAATCTCGCTATTAAATTTCGCCTGTTTCTCTCCAAAATTCACTACTCTGTTTTTATGACAGTACTCTGTTTCACTGGTTTTTCTAACTTCACAATTCGAAAGCGACAAAATTAGCTACAATTCTTCTGTTACAACCGTAATTATGTCAAAAATCTCAATTATGCTTCAACTGAATGGGAATTGGGATAGCTATGGGAGATGTAGAGACTTTCAGGTCGATGGAACTGTAATCGGTGAGGATGCAAGTTATAGCTTATTGAATTCTACAATAGTAGAGTATCTAATAATAGATACATCCGAAAAAATAATAAAAATTAAATAAATTGTCAACGAACATTGTCCTTCAATGGAAATTAGGAACGATATGGGTGTTTGTGTATACATGGAGACGAAAAAGGAAAACAAAAGTGTAGGAACCTATCCGCTATATATAACAGTACGTGATTTTAATTTGGAATTGAGTATCACCAATTCGAACACAGTTGCAGGTTTGTTCTGTTATATTACTATCGAATTTTGGTTGTATATTACTTATCTACAAATTATCTACAATATTTCTACAAAAAAACTACAAGTCAAAGTCTATATATATATATTAGTATTGAATTTCATTCTATCTACAATATTTCTACAAAAAAACTACAAGTCAAAGTCTATATATATATATTAGTATTGAATTTCATTCTATCTACAATATTTCTACAATAAAACTACATATCATTTATA